TTTGTATGTGTGTAGTACACACAATACTTACCTATGTTTGTATGATTTCACAACTGTGTATATTTTTATTTTCCAACATTAAAGATTCTCCAGTATATGTTTACCATTATCAAATCCTATGGGATTTTATGTCATTGGTATGTATTTCTTGCTGTGCATGAAATCTAAAACACACGGCGCTATTTTATAAACACCACTCACTATTTTAAATATACTCTTCAATACTATTGCTGTTTGGTGTGTGTGTATATATATATATATATATATAAATATATAACTCCAAGGCTCCTGCACTCCAACTTTAACAAAATAAATACCTTGTGCTCTGGTCACATAAAGTATAAATAATGAAAAATATACCGGCACTCCAGGATTTGGTAAAAAAGAGAGGTTAGTTCATCTTTATTCTTACAGTTCCAATCCTGGAACTGTGAGAATAAAGATGAACTAACCTCTCTTTTTTGCCAAATCCTGGAGTGCCGCTATTTTTTTATATATATATATATATATATATATATGATGTAGATTAATTTAGAAATAAACAAAAATGTTTAAAAGTCTATCTGTTCCTGTCCAAATCTGAGATGAATAAATTGCGTATACGCAGAAGTAAGTTCACACTGACACATGCAGTTCAGGTTAAAAGCACTTCAGGAAATTTATTAGCATCTAGTTAAAAAGTGGGCACGCAGGCCTTTTTATATGCAAAATGACATCATCATTGAATATCAGATAATAAATAAACATCATTAATTGGGTTAAATGTTAAGTGGCTATGTCAGTGTCCACCCATTAATATTATTAATTGGCTCAGAGATTTGAGTGACTAGTGAGGCACCCTCCCATCATGGGATGTCGTCGCCATTGCTCTTTAGCACGAGGCTTACTCGGTGGAAAGGGGGGCTTGGCCGTCATTTTACGTAGTTAGTGATGTCAGTCTCGTGGTCTGTTCCAAGGTTCTTTTATGAATAGAACATTTCATTTTGTCACTGTTCTCCTGGCCTTGGATTATACTATGTCGCAAGTCAACGGAGATCCGCTAACTCCGGGGCTAGTTATGTCCTTAGAGAGAGAAAATACAATCTCTTATTCATTATACTGAATACTGTCAGGAAATTCTGTCATGTAAGGTGAACAAAATGGAGTTAGTACAATAATTCAATACAGGTTCTAATAAAGATTTTAATAATTCTACATCAACAGTACTAGTCATTAGCTTAGGCAAGCTATGGGTTAGTGTAGGTAAGGTGCATTGATATAGTTAGGTAGGTATCAGAGCATTTCTGTTGCATTAAAGTTGCATGATGCTTTCAGCAAAATCACAACAGAAAAACGGGCAAATAATTATTAGTCTTAGGTGTTTTATTCTCCTTTGCTAGGTTCCCACTGCTGAAATGAGAAGCTCCTTTAACGAGTTAGCTGCAGTAGTAGCTGATTACCTGGCCTTGCATGGCAAGATTTAGCTCAGTGGAGATAAAAGAAGTCCCTTACACGAGGAGGCAGAACCTAGTCATCCCCAGCCAAGTTGTATCTGCTCTCAAATTTGAACAATAACCAATTATTATGGTACTTAGAGTGTTCCTTTATTGAAAGCCTGTTAGTTTTATTATTTTTTTCATACAATCTCAATGGTAGTATTCGTTTTGAAAGCAACTAAACTTCAGACAACAGTTTGGAACTGAGGAGGCCTCAAAGACCAATTAGGATTAATCAATCAATTAATATTCATTTTAAATTTATTGGAACTATTATAGTAGTAGGACTACGATTACTGATCAGTACTAGACTTGTGCAAACGGTGACCAGAAAAAAGTGCACAGGAAAAATGTCCACAGGAAAATTGCACACAGAAAAAAAAAAAATAACTCTGTCATAAATGCCCATAAGAAAAATGTCCACACGGAAAATTGCCCACAAGAAAAATGCCCACACGGAAAAAAGCCCATACAGAATTAAGCTCACAAGGAAAAATGCCCACACTGAATGATATGCATATGTAGTAATTTTCCAATTTATGAGCATGAAGTACCTACATTTTATTTTGTTATTGATATTTTAGGATTAAAATATCTCATTCATATGCAACAATTTGCATTGTGATTTTATAATGTATAATTAAATAATTATTTTGATATGTTCTAAGTATACTAATTCACTGCTAAACAAAATGTGGCCTGTGTATGTAGATGGTTTTAAGCCCTTAAGGACAGATGCAATTGTACAAGTTCTGACCAAAACAAAACCTAGAATTTGAGCTATATATGTCTGTTCAACTTATTTACCTCTTTTATATTGTGTACCCACACTTATTATATATAATGTTTTTCAGGAGAAACAAGACTTTCATTTCACATCAATTATTAATTTATATATGATATATGTTAAACAAGAAAAGACAAAACTGTCCAGTGACATCTATAGTGTTAAAAAATAACTTTTAATATTTTCAAAAAGTAAAAAGGGTCTAGAGAAATATCTAGCACTACATCAACCAAAAAGGAAGGGGAGGGAAAACATATAGGGTATAGTGATGTCCCGAACGGTTCGCCGTGGACGGCGAACATATGCGGTAAACTTTGACCCTGTACCTCACAGTCAGCAGACACATTCCAGCCAATCAGCAGCAGACCCTCCCTCCCAGACCCTCCCACCACCTGGACAGCATCCATTTTACATTCATTGTGAAGCTGCATTCTTAGTGAGCTGTCAAGGAGGTGGGAGGGTCTGGGAGGGAGGGTCTGCTGCTGATTGGCTGGAATATGTCTGCTGACTGTGAGGTACAGGGTCAAAGTTTACCGCATATGTTCGCCGTCCGCGGCGAACCGTTCGGGACATCACTAATAGGGTACATAGAAAGTATATACAGAAAGAATAGTAAAAGACTAGTATTGTCTCAACTAGAAGGATAAATATGTTAATTTTTTAACACTATAGAGGTCACTGGACAGTTTTGTCTTTCCTTGTTTAACATTTATTCTTAAGGGTTCCTAAGGGTTATCCCCTACTTTCTCTGTCCAGTATTATCTGTATTGCCTCAAACCCTGTTTTTGTTTATCATCCCTAGGGTTTTAATACCCATTGTTCTCTGAAGCTTTATTCATTTTCGAATTCAAAGAGTGCCAGCTCCCAATGACTGACCTTTTAGATAAACTATTTAGGGCCAGGAAGAAATTACCAATGTATTTTCTATTAATCCATTGTCTCAAATCAACAGTACCAATAATGATATTAATCAGGCTTTTTTTAACATTCAAAAATCATACCAACAGCAAATCGTTGTTTAGGGGAATTAACAAGTTTAAAGCAACATATCCAACAAAAAAATGGTCCCTAGAGGTTTACACCCTGAAATTCTCCTGCCTGACAAGGTACAGACGGAAGACCAATTGAATGAATGGAATTCAATTTTACTTGATTGCTCCTTCCGTTTAACGGCTTTTCTCATCAAGCTGGAAACTTCTAACTTTGATAAGATTAACCAAAAGCTAACCAAAGAAATAAGTCAAATCAAAGAGTTCAAAACTGAGAGTCTGTACCCACATTGGAAACAAAATTTAAAAAAAATATTGATAATTTTAAATATAATCTAAAAGTTAAAAAACATACACAATTTCAAAGAGACTTTCATGACCTTAACCCCTTAAGGACTGGACTGTTTTTGCAATGATGTACATTTGTGACCAGGCCTCTTTTTACACTGTTGTGGTGTCTGTGTTTAGCTGTAATTTTCCGCTCTCTCATTTACTGTTCCTATACAAATTATATATTTCTTTTTAGGACAAAAATGGCTTTCTTTACATGCCATTATTTATCTAATCTCATGTAATTTAATTTAAAAGAAATAAAAAAATATAATAAAAAAATTTAAAAAAATAAGTTTTTTTACTTTTACTTGAAAAATCTTCTCATCTACAAAAGCTAAATAGATTCAAAATGTTGTCCTGAGTTTAAAAATACCCAGTGTTTACGTGCTTTTTTTTTGCAAGTTATAGGGCTATAGGTACAAGTAGGATATTGCGGCTTCAAAACATACATTTTTAAAATTTATCAATAGTGACATAAATCTCTGAATAACACCCCACATGTACATATTTTTTTTAAAGTAGTCAACCCAGGGTATGTCCAGTCTTTTTTAGTAGCCACTTAGTTGAAAACACTGGCCAAAGTTAGCGTTCATATTTGTTTGTGTGTGAAAAAAGTAAAAAACTAAATTGAACCCTAAATTTGGCCAGTGTTTGTGACTATGTGGCTACTAAAAAAGACTGGACATACCCCATTTGCAATACTTTGGGTTGTCTTCTTTTGCAAATGGTATGCCATCCTGGGGGTAATTCTCATTCCTGGGCTACCATATGCTCTCAAAGGTAACATAACCAACCTGGCCATTTTCAATGAAAAAATATTTGACCCATATATTTGACCCTGTAACTTTTAAGAAACGCTATAAAATCTGTACATGGGAGGTACTGTTATACTCGGGAGACTTTGCTGAACACAAATATTAGTGTTTCAAAACAGGAAAACGTATCACAACAATTATATCATCAGTAAAAGTGCTGTTTGTGTGTGAAAAATGTGAAAAAGTCACTTTCACTGACAATATCATCGCTGTGATATGTTTTACTGTTTTGAATCACTAATATTTGTGTTCAGTGAAGTCTCCCGAGTAAAACAGTACCCCCCATGTACAGGTTTTAGGGTGTCATAGAACGTTACAGAGTAAAATATAGTGCTAGCAAATTAAATTCTCTGGACTTTCGGCCTGGGTTGGCAGGCAGGTCCCTCAAATTACAATCAATAAAATTACTTAATTATGTAAAAATATTACATAAATACGCACATAGAATTTAAATATATATGCATATTTATGTAATTTTGTATATGGACATATGTATATTTTGTATTGTTTTTATTTATTTATTTATATATACATAGATATATATACACAATTTCATTCTAAGTGTATTTTGATATATGGAAGGCGTGGCCTGAAGTTGTGGGAGGGGCTTGGTTCCCCTTCTTAAGGAGCATCAACCCTTCCCTCATTACCTGTTGGGTCTGGCGAATTGTGGGTAGAGAGATCGTCACTTCCGGTTGTTCTGGCGCCATTCTACTTACCTGTTTCACTGTGGGTAGCTTCCTGGGTCCCAACAAGTGCTGTCCCATCCTGTTCCGCCCGTCTGGCTTCATTTTCTGGCCGGGCGTTTCGCTGCGCTTTCGTTACGGCAAAATCGTAAGTTTACGGCCGTCGCAATTTCGGCGCGGCCGATTTACGTCATCCTAATTGTACAGTCGCACACGTGGAAACTCTTCGGTAAATATTTATACGAATACCGGCGTTCGGTTTTCTGCTTGTATACGCATAGCATGTTACATTTTAATTCGTATAGGGCAATTCGCTACATTCATATTATGCCCGTTCGTTTGCCGAAAGCTGCTTCACTTTTATGTTACAACTTGTTGTATGCCCTAGGGCGACCTCTGGTGGCTGGTTCATTGTCACTGATTTCTCTCTCAAAATACATTCCACGACCCCTGGTGGTTATTAAAGTTATGGCAGCTGGTACAAGTAAATGATATTTTCAGTTATGATTATAAGATATCTTATGCTGGTTAAAGTTTGTTGGGCAATTCGTTAATATGTTTTATTAATTAAATTGAACAATGCATTTACACTCAGTCACCTTATGACTATTTCGTATGCCGAATCTCTAGTCTTGTATGTGGTATAATTATGATATGCACTAAGAAGACCTCTGGTGGTCGGTTTTCAGTACTTTAGTTGCTTGCACAACCCTGCTGATCAGAAAGGTTATATTCACGACCTCAATCATTTGTAAGATTACAGTTTCAGTAGTCCAGTGTTGTATGCATTGTATGAGTATCAATATAAGGACATTTTGTCATGACATACTTAACGGTCTATTAATTAGAGACCTCTTGTTTTCAGTGTTCTACATTAATTCCTCTGGGTTCCGCTACCCCACCACTGTTTCACTCTACATAGGTCTGTTCCTATATTTAATTATACCTTCATGGGTCACGCCAGACCAGATTCCTCAAAGATTTTTCTATATTACTAGGTATAAGCATCCTAGCACTGCGTAGTATTCAGGTCCCAGTCACCTAAACTGTTGGAATATTATTTATAGGTATCTGATCAGCAGGGGGTCAAGGGCTACATATTTCAACCCTTACGAACTCATGTTAATCTCGTAGGTTACTACAGCTCACCTGGGTCACGTGTCCTACTTTCTGCAAAATTCACTACTAGTGAAGTACTACTGGTAGGTATCAGATTAGCTGGGGATTTAGGGGCACAATTTCGTTTTATTTTACCCATACAAACGTCAATTACTCTTGTAGATTACGACAGATCTCCTGTACACTTCTTCTCATACTATCTGGCAACTTACTCAACAGGTACGTCACGTTTCGACTACTTCTCCCTCCCTACCTACCTTTAGGGTTTATACAGATACTGGCAAGAAATAGGACCCACTAGGTATGTTTTTCTGGCCTTCTACGCCTTACGTTAGTGGTCCCGCGAGGCCTACACCCATCCTCAATTCGGAGGTACGGCATCCCCTCGGGCCCATTCATAGCTAGCCGCCTCACTTAGTTGCATAGAGAGGGCCTCACTTGTCACTCCCATTCTGTCTTATGCCTTTACAAGTCACAGAGAGGCCACCACCCTGCCATAATGCCAATGGCCACGTATCCCACACGCGCCAAATCATAGATAGTGCCTCTCAAGGCCGCTTGGCCACTAGTAGGGCCTCATCTGTCACGTTGCTTGATAATTCTTCGCCGCTTGGCATTTAGTGATCAATAGCCAGTTGGGTAGCCCCAGATAACATACTATTTTATGTTGTAGCATGTCACAAGTTCCTGAAGAAAGGGAAGATGTGTCCATCGCCAGTACACCGGCTAGATCGGTCACTCCATCGCGGGGTGACGACAACGCAAGCCCTGCATCACTCAGGGCGTGGACTGTTCCAAGAATTGCGGCTGAATTAAGGAAGAGAAATATTCCGTTCCCTGCTACAGCTAGGAAAGCTGAGTTGTACAGACTATTAAATACCCAGACTGATAACTCTGGGGCAGGGGAAGGATCCAGCGGGAACCATTCCTCAGATCTGCAGTCAGTTTTGTCGTCAGTCCTGACCTCTTTGGGTCGTATTACGGACAAACTGGACAAAATGGACGCAGATAGCCAGCAAAGGTCGCCTGCTACTGCAGGGAGCCCAGTTGCTGCAGTATGCTTGGACCCTCTACCGGGTAATTTACCAACTAGCTCTAAAGACCCACATATAATTAACCCAGCACACATGGTACCTGCTAAAACCAGAAAGGACATCTTGGAAGGAAAGGATATCAATCTGGTATCACTTTTGATTGCCTCACAAGATGTCCTTGAGAATAAGACATATGCATATGGGGATGTGTCAGTAGTTCTCAAGTCCAGAGATCCCAGGCTGAATCAAAAGCTTTCCATTCCAGAATTTGTACTGGCCTTCGGTATATACAGGGACGTCCTATGCTCTGTATATCCAGATAGGAGGGAAGAATTGGACCTTTACCTCCACAAGCTGGTGGATTTGGGGCACAAGTACGGTGGTACGTCATTTTACGACTACCACCGTGCTTTTTCCGCAAAGGCGTCGGCCACCCTAGCACAGTTCAATATTCAGGCTGATTGGGGTGTGCTTGATACTGAGCTGTTTTGTCGGCACTTTGCGGGCCTGAAAACTCCAGCTTGTGCCA